TTTTCAATGCCTATAATGAAGCAATAGATATTTAAAATTTAGAGAAATAAATTCTTGGGACGCTTATTTCTAATTTACTATTTCCACCATGTTTTCGCGTGATTTATGGCCATGATGAATATTAAACGATCTTAAAATAATTACATGTTTTAAAGAATGATGATCAGATTTGGCATGATATCCCTTAATAGAATTTAGATCCACTGCAACCTTATCATGGTCTGTATCGATGTTTATTTCAAGGTCTGAATTATCCATGATTTTACTATTATAATTAAATGAAAATTATATGATTTGGAATAATAAGTTACAAGTTTATAGCATACAGTCGAGAAGACCAACTCATTTTATAAGAATTTGCACATTCTCTCCTGAAAATGAACTTCCAAATTAGAATAAATTTTAAATTGCAACACAGAAAAGTAATCACATGTATAATTTAGTGATCAACAAGATTATTTGTTTTAGCGGTAGAACTGAACCAAACCGAGTATAAACCTTAACTCTATAACGATAAACTATTCATCGTTTATCATTATACATAGTTTAAATAATATTTTATCATTGCTGATGCTGAAAATAGCTAGTAAATTAACTGATCGACCAGTTATGTGCATTAGTTTTATCTTTATCCAAGCTAGCGTATTAGATATGGCATTTAATTTCTTTTCTTTCTGCATACGTTAAATGGCATACACTACGTCACACGAAAAACTTATCCCTGCTGTCTCACAATCATTGATATAGATTATAGTCCGATAGCTCGATCACAGCTGTAAGATGATGTAAAAGATTTGCGTGAATAGAATATCTATATTGAATTGATCAACTAATGAAGTCGGTAAAATTGGTCTTTTAGTGTATAAGCCTAGTACCGTATAACAAAAATGCCAAGACAAATTAAATAATGCTCTCGGGTACTGTATGAAGAGAGGATACTATATAAGGGTGGTATACTGAAGAAAATATTATAGTTAGTCACAATCATTTCTCGGAATGGCGAAAGGCAAAACCTAAGCCCAAAAAAGACGAAAAACGAACCCCGGCGCGAAATCTTAATGACGCCAATGATGTAAGATATGCAATAAAGATGACCATTGGCGTAAGGCGATGCCTCTAAAAAGTACGTACAAAACTTCTTGAGAAAGAATAAAGTGCCAGCCTCATGATCTCCAACCATTTGAACTTAAATTCAAACCATATGTATAAACGTTTTTCCTTTAATATACAGTAAAGTCGTGGCACGATCAAATTATTAAGCCACTTTTTTAAATGAACCATTATCTGATAGCTTACTATGATCGTACCATCAGATAACTCGAGTTGACTCTTGACAGGTCACGAGAAGAAAGCATAATATATGACTGTCGTCCGACAGGCCATATTACAAATTAAATTTGTTAACCACACCCGGTCTTACCTTGCATGACTGTCGTCTCGACAGGCCACCTTGAAAAACTAAACTGGTTGGTTGAGAGAAATAAGGTTATCTTCTCATCGATCCTCAAACGATTACTCG